ATTATGCCGGTCTGGATATATGGTGCATGCATATGCTTTGGACTTATACAGGTTGGTATGCGATACTGCTTTGAGATTTGTGGATTGTATATGTTTGTATATTTGTTTGATTGGATATGTGGAGAGTCGGTGATGCACTGAGAGCATTTTGCTACGGTCGTGAGATGGAGGATATCTCTTGACCAGGAGTGCGGGTATAATTGCCTTTGGTGGGCATGTTGCTCTAGTCATGAGATGGAGGATGTCTCTTGATTGGGAGCGTGTTAATGGTGCCTTTAATGGGCGTGTTGCTCTGAGTAGTGTGGTAAGGTTGTCCTGATGGGCGTGTTACTCTGATCATGAAATGGAGGATGCCTTTCGACCGGAAGCATGGTATGTGATGATGTTGAGCCTGATCATGAGACGGAAGATTCCTCTGATCGAGGCTAGAGTCTTAATGATCATTGTACTTCCACATATGTATGTTTTGATGCTGGTATTGCTCATTATACATATGTATATGTATGGTTTTAGATTTATGGTGTGGTGCATAACCTAACATGCATAAACTAGGTATTATCTGTACCCACTCAGTTTCTAGACTCATAGTTTATAAAATTTTCAGATTAGGTTGCTGTTCTCGGGTAGCGTGCCGAAGTCAGAGTAGTCGTCTACAACTTTGATTGATGTACAGGCATATTCTTTTGTTTACCTGGTTTTTTGTACTCTAGTGCTCCCTTTATTATTCAGGAAGGATCTTGGTTTTGTACTCGAATAATTGAGATGTTTATACATGTTTTGGTTAGTTTTGAATATGATTTTTGTTATTGTGAGGCTGACTAGGGTCGAGGACCCTAGTGCTGATCACAAGCCCAGGGTTTGGACCGTGACATAGAGTTAGAGATTTTTGTGTATACATAAATTATACAATTCGATTCAATTTAATTTATACGATTTATATAATAGTTAAACAAATTAAATTATATAAAAAATTATTTACAAATTGAATCAAATCAAACCACGACCTAATTGCTTTATACAATTTAATTTGATTTCTTGAATAATTCTGAACAACATCACAAGACCAACTACCTTGGGAAGAAAGAAAAAAAAAGTGGTATAAAATATTAACATGCACTATTGCGAGGTGTAAAAGGTCACGATAACAATGAAGACTAGGCATGTGAGGCAACTAGAAAAGGCAAAAGCTCTCTTACACTGCAAAAATCAGCAACATAATAAGTTTGTAATCTAGCTAAAACTAAGCCAACAAAATGCTTCTACTTATCTTTCAGCGGGGTATTTTCCTTCTTTCTGGGATTCAACTGAAGAATATACAGAATGGCGGAGGTACCTCAGCCAAGAATACGGGGTTTCATCGTAACCTTGTTGTTCTCAGGTAAGAGGTTTTTGAGCTTCTAATAGATTGCTGGCATAAATCTGGTGTACCATTTCTACATAGTCGTCAACCTTGTCAGGAGTCCAACCATCGGCCCTAATTGGAGGAAGATATTTAACAGTTAGAGGTGCTGGCCGAACATGTAAGCTGCCTTTCCTCCATGCCATATGGGTGCCCGTCAGGACAATTGGTACAATCAAAAAGCGCAATTGCAATGCCATATGAACAAATCCCTATAAAAAATAACACAAACTAGCTCTGAGCATTGGTTAGTGAGCAGCATGGCTATAAATATAACCTCTCCAAAGGCGTGTTTGCGCGCGTATGAAACAACACTTTTACAATGCTTGAGACAATTTCTTACTTACAAGGTGTTTTTAAACCAACTTTTTGTTTTATTTCTCGTTTTTGAAGTTGAGAAAATTAAAAATAAAGTTGTTTGCTGAAATTGTAATATTGGTATTTTTAGCTTCATTAATATAATTGTAAATAAATAAAAACTGTTTTAGGATGATTTTAGACAATTTTATTATTAAATATCTTGTTTAATTTCTAAATTGTCATCACTTGTCATTCCATTCTCCTCTCTTTACATAGATCCATCACAATAGCAACAATCGTTGCTGCCCAGATGGCCACTGTGTGTAGAGACGGCTATCGCTACGGTAGCTATGTTGTGTAGCAACAACGACAATCCCAAAGAAAAAAAAAACTTACAATGAAAAACATTGGGAAATTTGAAAAAAAATAAACAAAAAAATATATATGAAAAGGTAAAATTGTCATTTTGGTTTTAAAAATTTTTCTACCATCATTTCATAAAAATTATCTCTCAAACACTATTTTACTAATTTCTATAACTTTTTTATACATTTTGCAAACACTCCTCATGTCACATCCAAACCAAAGCCCTCATTATATATTCTATGTTTTATTTTACATAAATATAATTAGTGGAATAATTAGTAATGTAAATTTAGTTTAAAAGGCTATAAATCTTTGTCTATAAGAAGGGTAATTTTTGCAATTACTTGAAAAATAATAATAAATTAATTAATTAATTAATAAAATAATAATAATATTGATGAAAAAAAAAGAAAATGAAAAAGATTTACGTAGGAGGAAGGCTCTCACTTGTCACCATCATCATGAAAGTAACTTTGCTTTTACAAAAGAGGAGAAGAAAGAAACAAAAGGGAAATGAAAATATGTAAAATAGGGGAAGAAATAAATAAAAAGAGAAAGAAAGGAGGAGGCAAAGAAAGAAAAGAGAGAAAGGAAGAACGGAAGAAAAAGAGAGAGAAGGGAGAGGAGCTCGGGAGATGAACACGAACTAGGAAATGAAACCAACGCAGAAAAATTTCAATTTAATTCAGGTGAGTTTTTAAGAAAAAAATTCTTTTGTATTCTCAATCTAGATGCATTTTAGTTTTATTTAATCGGTTTAGATTTTTTGTTTAAGTACTGTTTTCATGATATTAGAGAATAAATTCTACCAGTTTAGATTAATCTTTTTATTTAATTAATTTATATTAATTCTACTGAGAAAGTGACTTAGTTAGTTTAATAAAAAAATAAGATTAAATTTATATTATAAATTGTACGAATTTCAACCTAGAAGTTCACCGACCTATCAACGAATTATTTTTCATAAAAAAATATCTATAACTCTTTTTGTGAACGTGAACATATCCTAGTATAATAAGTATATATTAATATTTTGAGAATTTTCGAAATACGTGTGTAGTAGAAATTTTGACCCCAAATAAAAAGATAGAAAATAGCTTAATTACAAATATATCTCATGTATGCACCAGCATATTTATGCATTCATGCACAGTTTTAACATGTCATTGATAACATATGTGGTTACACTTTAGGAGAGATACACCGGCTGGTTAGTGAGGCCAACAGGACTAAGTCGGGACACACACAGTATCAGTAAAGGTAAATGGTCTTTTTCCTAAATTCAGTATTTTTTTAAAATAGTGAAATTAATATTTTCTTACAAATAAAGGTTTTACCTGAAAAACCAAAGGTTTTTATTTTTAAAATACCTCTTTAATTTATATGTTATGGTTATTTTGCTACATGAAATGGAAATAGGGATCTCATTTTTACACTGTATGTTATGTATATAAATATTGCAATTCACTTGGATAATTCGCTGGATAGCCACGATTAGTGTGACAGTACTACATGAATTAGTTGCCCGGTGGAACCTTATAACACCAACAAGCTATGTGTGTTCGTTCATGAAGATGGTGTCTTATGGAACAAGTCTCATGGCCAATAGCACCTAGTGGATTCTTATTATGTTATATTTATATCTACGTGCACATTAGATCTTATGTTTATTTATAGAGTCGTTATGTTTTTACTTCCATCCTTAGCTCATTTACGACAATTTTGCTATGATTGGATCTGCAGGCTCTACGGGTAAATTAGCCTTATTTTTAGATTATAATCAGTGAATTGATATTTCACAATATGGTATTCTCTATATCAGTTATACCAGTTTTACGAACTATTTTTATTTACAGTATTATGCAACATATTCCTATTTCACTAGTTTTAGTTGTAGGACTATTAACTGGGACGCAAGTTTCACTACTTATTTATTTTTCAAGTTTTAATAGTAGAGATGTGTAGGTGCATCACATGCTTCCAGCACAGCATCATTTCGAGTTTAGAGAGGTTGGGCCCTACTCATGTTAATATTAGCTGTTTTGGGGAGTGAAAGTTAAATATTTGTATTATATGTAGATGTTGTTTTATAAAAGAGAAGTCACGTAAAATAATTATGTTTTCAGTAATGATAATGACTTATTTTCTGTAGTAATGTTGTATCAGATTATATTATGTTATTCAGTTTTTGGAAGTAAGGTATACAGAAAACTCAGCAGGTACGATAGTCGAATAAGGTTTGGCCTTCTCTGGTGAATCCCAGGTATTGGAGCTTGCTAAACACTATTCCACTGTCACACCTCGCTCGAGTTACGGGGTGAGGTGTGACACCTCAATTTCTGATTAAATTCAACTTATACTCATTTTTGCTTAAAGTACCCACTTCTAATTTTACAAAAACTCTTGCAAACACCTCCTAAATCACAACAAAAATTTATGTGGCCATTTCATTTGATGATCCATATAAGATCACATTCAGTAAACTAAAGGTTGGGTAAGCATAATTATCTATCCCTTATTCGATATTCGGCAGACTAAATAAAATCTAGGTATACACATTTATACAAGCAGATCCAAAATAAACTTATTTTTGAGAAACAAGATAATTTTAACTAACTTTTATCCAACTCTTTTAAATAATCTTGTCTTTACTATTTACCGTCCAAATTACAAAAATATGCCCACCCATGGTTTTCGTCAATTACCACTGGCCACTGTCAACAACTATTATCGGTTGTTGGTCTTTACTGCTACTATCCGCAACTAATAATAACAAAGTTATTTTAGTAATTTAAATATTTATCCAATCTTTTATCCAAAACATACTGAATAAATTATAATAATTCAAAATTCTATTCATTAAATCCAATACCTATTCCTTGTCATGTCCAACCTACAACGTGAGCTCATCAAGGTTTAGAAATTACCTTCTTTAATGGAAGTAGCCATCCATTTTTGGACCTGGTTCCTTCGGAAAGATGATCAAGGATGGCTTGTTCTTGACAATTGCACTAGCAGCCTGGCTATTTGAGTGTTGCTTTTAGTAGCATAGATAAAATATATGCAACAAAACAAGTTTGAAGAATTATTCACCTCCTTCATGGATTTAATGGCTGCATTTGGATAGGAGCAATCAATACGCAAATGGTTAGCTAGAACATATAGCTGTCCAAATAAGGGGTACCATATGATCTGGAAAAATAATATCACCACTGACAGGTTCAAATTACTGAACTTTCTTGTGACAAGATTATATTAAAGAAGGCATTAATACATAGATACATACCTCTTTCTTCACAATGCCAACAGTGCCAGTAGGAGTTAACCACATGATAAGGAAAATGCCAATAGGAGATGCATGATTACTTATATAAATTGCTATTTCTTTGGAGCACTAACCACCTTCAACCTTGATTGGGTTTCCTAGAATCCACATCTGCATTCAACAAATTAACTCTTCTAGCAAAACTGGAGACAGTGCTCGGTTACAAGAAAAGTTGACATTAACACAGAGTTAAATGTGAAATGAAGGTTTATGGAATCTGAACTCCATAGACATCAGTTGAGAACAAAATTGAAGTTAAAATTCAAGGGCCTCACAAGAATTTAATTAGGCAGCCTGGAATCTGAAAGAAGGTATACTAATAAACCAACAAAGTAGACCTCTTAGTTCAGGTAAAGATATGAAAGAAATGCTAATCAGAGACTCTGTTTTCACTTCTAAATCAACACAGATAAGCTTCATTAATTTTCCAATCCATGGTTCATCACACTAATTTCGCCCACTAGTTTCAAATTTTATGTTGTGGTCGCCCTATTCACACCCTTGACAGAAAGTGTAAGGCTCGTTTCTATGTGAGAAGTAAGAGCACAGCTCTTATCAAAAATATTAAATACACCTGTGCTTGGAACACCAAGGTACATCCAAAAATGTGTCATGTGACATTTCCCTAACCAAGAACTGTCAGTGGTCACAGGCTCAGAGTTCGTGGTCCTCATTAACAAACGCTCAGACCATGCCAAAGGCTGAATAAAGCACGCAAACACACACCCTTTTCTTTTCTCGGAAACACAACCACTTAGTTATTTCAAATTATATGGATATCAATTTTCTGAAATCTTATTCTGACCTAGACTCGTACCAAAATCTGGAACAAGCCCAGGTAACTGAAGCCTGGACCACGTACTAACACCACGGGCACTCAATCAAGAATCATTATGCAGCCAAAATCATAATTTTGCCACAGTATCAGGAAGAACGAGAGTAGCCAAGTATTATTTTAAGACCCACCATCTGTAAATTCATTCAACATTCTCCCCCACCAATGGAAACACGCAATAAACTGCTAAAATATTCACCGACTGGGTAAGTCGCTAACTTCGAGTACTGAACAGAAAACCAGAAAATGCTATACCCAAAAGAGATCCAATAGTCCTTGGTCAAATGAGAAGGGGTAGTTGGGAGGAGGGTAGGAAGTAAAAAGTAACTAGAAAAGCCAACCCACATCCACCAAGCTTAATGATTTCAAATAAAGAATCAACAATTTTCGCATGCTTTCACTTTCACCAGCTTTTTCTGCTTGCTAACTATTTTTTAAGTCTTAATAAGTGGCAAAAACCAAGTAATTATTCATAATTAGAGCCATAAACAATGTGAAAATCCAGAACATTCATTCTTCGTCTTACCAACATCTGTTCGGTCACATGTCCGTAAATCTTGCCCTGCCTAATCCTCTCGCACGGCCACGGTAAAAGCACAAGCATGACTAGAGCCCAGATAAAAGTAGTAATCATCATTGACACAAAGCAAATAACGATTCGAACACAAGAAATCGCCGCCGACCCCCAACCATCATCGTCAATGTACACATCTGTAGCCAGCTTCTTCTTCACATCTTACTTCGCTACAATTTTCAAGGCAGAGCCAGAGCCAGAGCTCAAAGCAGAGCTTGTGTCGAAAAAGCTGCCAACCGTCCTATTCCTCGAAAAAGCACCAATTCCAGTGCTCTCCATGTGTATAAATCAATCTAAATCATTATAGAAACAAAAATTGCAACAATTAGGGTATCAACCGTCGGAATAGAAATGGAATAGGAGCAGACATGTGGTTCTGTTTGGTTGGTGAGAAGGTACTAGAAGGAAAAGGAAAGAAAATGATGTTAAAAACATCAACCCTTTTCCCTCATTTGGTCTTAAAAAAATGCATACGACCGATCGACTGACAGAACTGAGTCCACAGAATCAGAGATTATCCACGTTTGGTTGCCAAGAAAGTGACGAAAAAAAGAATAAAAAGAAAATAAAAGGAAAAAAAAAAGGTTTGTTAAACTTCAAAATCATTGGCATGAAAGACATTAGAAAAGGATAAAATTGATGGAAATAAAAATACTTAAACTTTATTCCACACATTGAATGAATTACATAGACTCCTATTTATAGGAAAACTAATCCTAGTTCTAATAGGAAACATAATCCTAGTAAAACTCTAATACCTCTAAAGATAATTACATAAAAAATAAATCCTAGTCTAAGATAATTACAAAAAATTATCTTTAACACCCTCCCTTAAACTGATAACTACGAAAATGAGTTTAGAGATATGTCCTTAGCTGAAATCATCCCGAGCCTTGATCGAAGCTTCACGAACACATCTTGTTTGAGGGGTTTGGTCATAATGTCTGCAACTTGTTCACCACTTGGACAAAACACAATGTTGATCAACCTCTTAGATATGCCAAGCATGGCAATGAGTATAAAGTCTACAAACTCAGAAAAGCTATATATGGCTTAAAACAAGCCCCACGAGTTTGGTACAGTCGTATTAAAGTTTATTTTACCCGAGTAGGTTTCCAGAAGTGCCTTTATGAACATACTCTCTTCACAAAGACTCATGCCAATGGAAGTATACTTATGGTATGTTTGTACGTGGATGACCTTATCTACACTAGGAATGACAAATGTATGATTGCTAAATTCAAAGAGAATATGATGTCAGAATTTGAAATGTCAGACCTAGATTTGATGCATTACTTCCTTGGCATTGAGGTTTCTCGGTCATCACTTGGAATCTTTGTTTCACAAAGAAAATATATTCTTGAGATTTCGGATAGATTCCAGATGAAGGATTGCAATCCTGTTAGCACACCCGCCGAATATGGTCTCAAGCTCATAAGAAATGATGAAGGGAAGAAGGTGAATCCCACACTTTACAAACAGATAGTTGGATACTTGATGTATTTAACTGCAGCAAGACCGGACATTATATATAGTGTCAGTTTAATAAGCCGATATATGAAAAATCTAACTAAAAATCATCTCTTAGCTATCAAGAGGATTCTGTGGTACTTAAAAGATAGTGATTATGCTGGAGATATTGATGTCAGAAAGAGTACATCAGGTTTTGTATTCATGATGAGTTCTGGAGCAATCTCTTGGTCATTAAAGAAACAACAGATAGTTAATTTATCTTCTACAGAAGTTGAGTATGTTGCTGCAACAACATCTTCCTGTCAAGCTATCTGGTTAAGAAAGTTGATAAAAACACTTCAAAGCAAGCAAGTGAGACCAACTACTATCTTTTGTGATAATGCTTCAACAATCAAGATTTTCAAGAATCCAGTGTTACATAAGAGAAGCAAACACATAGATGTTCGTTATCACTTTTTGCGGGATTAGTGCAATAGTGGTGTGATTAACCTTGTATTTTGTCCAAGTGGTAAATAAGTTACAGACATTATGACCAAACCCCTCAAACAAGATGTGTTCGTGAAGATTCGATCAAGACTCGGGATGATTTTAGCTAAAAACATCTCTCTAAACTGATTTCCGTAATTATCAGTTTAAGGGAAGGTGTTAAAGATAATTTTTTGTAATTATCTCATACTAGAATTTATTTTTTATGTAATTATCCTTAGAGGTATTAGAGTTTTACTAAGATTATATTTCCTATTAGAACTATAATTAGTTTTCCTATATATAGGAGTCTATGTAATTCATTCATTGTGTGGAATAAAGTTTAAGTATTTTTATTTCCCTCCTCTCATCAAAACTCCCGTAGTCTCTCTCTTCCGTTAAGGCATTGACAGTGCGCTTTGCCTAGGGTTGTTCTCCGTACCAGTCTTCCGTTCCAGTCTCGGAGGTGCTTTCTCCGTCCACGCAGTGTGATTTGAGTTTAGGATCTGGTGATGGATTCACTTGCACGAGATGGAAGTGGAGCGACAGATGGATTACCTCCACCCCCACCTGTTCCCCCCAATGTTGTTCCAGAGCATGTTTCTGAACCACTTAAGAAGAAGGTTCTGCGTGTCCCGATAGCTAGACGGGGAGTAGGATCCAAGGGGCAAAAGATTGCAATTGTGGCAAATCACTTTAAAGTGAATGTCAGCAATGTTGATGGGCACTTCTTCCACTATAGTGTTTCTGTTTCTTATGAAGATGGACGCCCAGTTGAAGGCAAAGGTGTTGGACGACGTGTCATTGATAGAGTCCATGAAACGTATGATACTGAGTTAGCTGGAAAGGATTTTGCTTATGATGGTGAGAAGAGTTTGCTCACAGTTGGTCCCCTTCCTAGGAACAAACTTGAATTTACTGTTGTTCTTGAGGATATATCCTCGAACAGGAGTAATGGCAAACCAGGAAGTCCGAATGAAAGTGATAGAAAGAGACTTCGAAGGCCATATCAATCTAAAACTTTCAAGGTGGAGATAAGCTTTGCCGCTAAAATTCCCATGCAAGCCATTGCAAATGCATTACGTGGTCAGGAGTCTGAGAACTCTCAAGAAGCCTTACGAGTTCTGGATATTATTTTGAGACAACATGCTGCAAAACAGGGTTGCCTACTTGTGCGTCAATCTTTTTTCCATAATGAGCCAAGAAACTTTGCGGATGTTGGAGGTGGTGCCCTTGGCTGCAGAGGATTTCATTAAAGTTTCCGTACTACCCAGGGTGGCTTGTCTCTGAATATTGATGTGTCTACTACAATGATTATACAGCCTGGTCCTGTTGTGGATTTTCTGATAGCAAATCAAAATGTAAATAATCCTTTTGCAATTGACTGGGCAAAGGCGAAACGTGTGCTCAAGAATTTAAGGATAAAGGCAAGTCCCTCAAATACTGAGTACAAAATAACTGGATTGAGTGAGCTGTCTTGCAAGGAGCAGATGTTTTCATTAAAGCAAAAAACAAAGGATGATGATGGTGAAATGCAGACACTTGAAGTGACGGTTTATGATTATTTTGTAAATTATCGTCACATTGAATTGCGTTATTCTGCCGACTAACCATGCATCAATGTTGGGAAGCCCAAGCGCCCGACTTTCATTCCTATTGAGCTATGTTCATTGGTGTCGTTACAACGATACACAAAAGCTCTCTCCACTTATCAACGAGCATCATTGGTGGAGAAATCCAGGCAAAAGCCTATGGAAAGGATGAGAGTATTGGGTGATGCTATGAAACTCAACAATTAAAGTGCTGAGCCCATGCTTAGATCTTGTGGGATTTCAATCAGCAATAGCTTCACTCAAGTAGAAGGGCGTGTTCTCCCTGCCCCAAGGCTGAGATTTGGGAATGGTGAAGACTTCTTTCCCCGAAATGGGCGGTGGAATTTTAACAAGAAGAAACTAGTGGATCCAACCAGGATTGAGAAGTGGGCCGTTGTAAACTTCCCAGCTCGGTGTGACCTGAATGGCCTTGTTAGAGATTTAATTAAATGTGGAGAGATGAAGGGCATTCGCATTGAACAACCATTTCATGTCTTTGAGGAGAGTCCTCAATATAGACGGGCGCCACCTCTTGTCAGAGTTGAAAAAATGTTCGAAGAAATACAAGCCAAGCTTCCCGGGGCACCTCAATTTCTGCTTTGTCTACTTCCAGAGCGGAAGAATTGTGATCTTTATAATCCTTGGAAAAAAAAAAAACTTGTTCTGATGCCGCTAGTAGAAATAAAAATACTTAAACTTTATTTCAAACATTGAATGAATTACATAAACTCTTATTTATAGAAAAATTAATCCTAATTCTAATAAAAAGCATAATCTTAATAAAACTCGAATACCTCTAGCTCTAAAAATAATTACATAAAAAATAAAACCTGATATAATATAATTACAAAAAATTATCTTTTAACAAAAATAAGGTCAACATATAAGTCTGTCTCTCTCAACCTCCAGACAATGCTGGGAATTTTCTACAGACCTCGATTTCTCTCTCAATTTTCTTCGCAATCAAAAAGAAACCGAGCAAACACTAAACAGAATCCATTTCATTTATTGCTCAATTCTCTCAAGTACTTGAGAAGTTTGAGAACAGTAACGTGTGTTCTACACATAACGTAATCGGTTAACTTACCAATGGGTTGATTAATTAGCCGCAAGTCCTCTGAAGCAAAGAAAATGTGAGAGAAAGTTCAAGTGGCTCAGTTAGAGAGAGAGAGAGAGACAGAGAGAACAAGGATGAGGAGGAAAACGAAGAGAAGCTGAGAAGTGAGGAGACGGGAGGGAGAGAGGGAGAGAGAGGCTCTCAAATCTTAGTCCGGTTGAGAGAGACGAGAAGACAGTGGTACCTAACGAATAAACGAAAATTAACCAAAAAATCGCACGTGCTTCTTTCCTCCTACTTTTGGTTCTAAATTTCTGTTTTGCCATTCTAGTGCTGTTTGACGGCAATACCCCTCTTCCCTTGCAAACATGTTGTGAATAATCTGCGAGGATAAATATAAAAAGAAGATGAGATTTGTCAGGTGTAGAATTTGAATTTGAGTTTGTTTAGGATTAAAAATAGAGATTGAATTCTCCACGTAGATATAAATATTAGTTTAATTTTATTTTTATTTTTATTAAAATTAATATAAATATTTAATTTAAGAGTAAATTAGACGTATCATGTGTTTATTTATGTTTCCATTCATAAGTTTAGTTCAAAGAAGTTTAACTTCTTAAACTGTGTCAATTATTAGTATCGATTTATTATTTTTTATTAAATTTATTATTAGATACCATTAAATCTCTATCAAATTCTTTTTTTTTCTTATTTTGGTTAAGTTTTAAATGGCATAAATGTGATTTTTTTAATTTTTTTGTGTATATATTTTAGTAGTTTACAAGAATAATACATAATATCCTAGGCTAATCTAGACTGAGTAGCGTTAACCCAAGCACATGGATTGATGCAATAACCTAAATTTTAAATTAGGGGCTGGAATTTTTATTTATTTATTTATTTAAGCTGGTTAAGGGTGTTAGTGAACCAATTAAAAGTTAAGGGGTGCTTTGCGAAAATTTGAAAAAGATCTGGGGCTAATTTCAGAATTTGGAGGTTAAATTGAGAGGAATGAAAAAGGAAGGCATTGATTGGAAGAATAGATAAGTCTAGGGCTAATTTAGAAATTCAAAAGGGGCTTAATTGAAGGGAAAGAAAGTTCAATAGGTCGGATTGTGACAGGAGAGGGGGGGACCTTCGGCCGGAAGCTGGCCGAAGGTTTTGGAAGAAAAATTACTCCAATAAGAGCGAAGCAACTCATCCCAAACTTGGGATAAGTGTGTGTGAGAGAGAGAGAGACGAGCTTAAGGGTAGATTTAATTTGGGTTTTGAGTGAGTAAGAGAGGGAAATAAAGCAAGAGAAGGGCCGATAGACCGGATGGGCTGGTTCTGTAAAATTTCTGGGGATTTGGGTGAAATAGCTCCAATTAAAGGTTTCTACGAGGCTCACAAGGTTCAGTTTGGTCGTCTCGGGTTTCCAATCGAACCAAGTAAGCTTGTTTTTTTGATTTATTTCCGATTTATGGGTTTCGGGTTTGTGTAGGGGAGCGGGGTTGAATGCCGGGTCACTGGGCGAAGGAGAAAGGACCCGGAACAATCCAAGTCCTGTGCTGGGCTGAGCCGACTTGTTTAGGCCTAGGCTTGGCCAGTTTGGATCGTGGTCAATGGGCTGGCCCACGAGGCTAGCCCTGGCCCAAGTAGGTTGGACCAAGTTGACTTGGAGAGTCAACTCAGTCTTGTATTCTAACAATAGATGAGTCAACCCAGATAGGTTGACTCAGAAAGGGTGGGTTATGCTATTCCAGGGGATAGGGATATCGGGGATAAGGGTTGTGGAGAATTACATAATCTGGGCAGGGATAGGCCATCCGTGGAAAATTAGGGTTTTGAGTTGACCGAACAGACCAGCGTTGGTTCAAGTTTGACCGGCCAGTTCGGGACCTTTTAGACCAGTTCTCTGGGCAAGTGGACTGGTTCTAGGTTCAGGGGGACGAAGGCTATCAGACAAAGCGGGTTTGAGAATTTTTGGACGGCTGGTTCAAGGTGAACCGACCGGTTTAGTGAAATATGTGTCAGGTGACTGGTTTAATGGCTTTTAGGCTAGTTCTTGGAGAGATTGAACTGGTTCCTGATTCAGCATGTGGAGACCTAGAGAATTGTGCAGTTTGGTGATTTTTGGGTATCCGGTTCAAGATGAACCAGCCTCGGTTCAGTGTACCGGTGCTTAGAATTAGGGTTTTTAGCACAATTCAGCTTAGTTTTGAGAGGTTCTTAGCCAGTTCAGGGTAGTTCCTAGAGTTGTTGGATCTTCTGAATCCGATTTTGAGGTTTTCATAGCTGATTTAGTTCGACTGGAGGTGGTTATAGACTGGGTTAGGTCAGTTCGAGGGTTTTAGAGATCAGTTCGCTATGGATTGGGGATTGTAGAGGCTGGTTCTTTACTATTAAGAGTCGTTGAGTCGAATTGCGAGTGTTAAGTGAGTCGTGTGGGTCTCGGTGATAGGTAGTGGTATCTCGGGATACGTGCTTGATTGTGGGGGTGGAATTTGAGTCTGGTTTGGACTATCAAGGCCGTTTCTTGTACTGGTTATGGAGTTGGTGATGGTTTTGTGTGGTTTTGATTTCAAATTCACCCGTAGAAAAGCACTCGGACCGTAGAGTTGGTTGAGGTGACTGGAGATTTCTGTTAAACTCAGCATGTACTGTGAGTGATGATACCCTCTCTATACATGTATTTTCATACCTGTTTTTCCTAGCATGATGATTGCATGGGTTTGCGAAACTGTGTGTTGATACATGAATCTCGGGATATGGGTTATGTGTTTGATTGCTGTTCAGTGAGTTATGTTGATATGTGAGACTGGTTTTGAGATTTGTACACTGCATATATTTGTATATCTGTTTGTTGGATGTATGGGAAATCTATGATGCACTGAGACCGTTTACTTCGGTCGTGAGATGGAGGATGCCTTTCGACCGGGAGCGTGTTAGTGGTGCCCTTGGTGGACGTATGATTCTGAGGAGCGTGTATGTGATTTTGTTGCAATCTCAGTGATTGCTATACTCTTGCATATATGTGTTTTGTGAAATGGAATGTGGAGGGTCAAGCGATGCACTGAGACCGTTGGCTTTGGTCGTGAGATAGAGGATGCCTTTTGACCAAGAGTGTGATATGGTTGCCCTAGTGGGCGTGTGGCTCTAGTCATGAGATGGAGGATGCCTCAACTAGGGGCGTGATATGTGACTGTGTTGGGGTCTGATCGTGAGACAGAGAATTCTTTCGATCGAGGCCAGAGTCTCAGTGATCATTGCACTTCCAGACTTGTATGTTTGAATGCTGATGTTGCTTATTGTATACCTGTATGTATATGCGTGGTTTCGGGACTTGTGATGTAATGTATATCCCAACATACATAGACTAGGTATTATCTGTACTTACTGAGTTTCGCGACCCACTTTTATAAACTTTCCAAATATAGGTTGCTGCTATCGAGTAGTGTGCTAGGGCCGAGGCAGTCGTCCACAGCTTTATTCGATGTACGGGTGAGTCCTTTTCTCATCTATTTATATTCTAATGCTCCCCTTATTACTCAGACAGGGTCCTGAATTTATATTTGAATATTTTGATATATATATATATATATATATTTGATTGGTTTTGAATAAA